ATATATATATATGTTTGGAAAATTTTGAAAATGATAGTGAAAATATTTTGAAGAATTTTTAAATGATTGTATGTAATAAATAATTAAACAATATTAAAATTTTGTATGTGCATGTACTAATGTGTATCTACCCTGCTGGGAAGCTCTGCTCGAAACGCTTTTTGCATTTGTGGAATTTTCTAATGATTAACACTGTTTATCAGCTTTAAAATTACAAGTTTATTTAATAAATTGGCCCTTTATATTTATATTCTGATCATTTTATTTTTTTGTCTTGCCTTTACATTTATTTATTTACCTGGAGTAATTTTATCCTAACAGATTCTTGTGCCAAAAAAACAACAATTAATCAATTAAATATTATAATATTTATTTGAAAATATTGCAAAAAATATTCTACATATACAAATTTATAACAGAAAACATTCTATTAATTATTATACATTTTTATACAAATTAATTCGAATTTTCGGTTTTTAGAGTTGATACGACGCAAAATAAAACTTTATAAATACAAATTCTAATTATAATAAACGTTTTTATGATAAATTTAAGTATTTTTTTTTTATTAACTTTCTCTAAAAGACAAGATAATGTATTTAACAAGTTGGCATATGAATTAAACAACATATCGAGATAGATTGTCTGCGAAATAATTTCGTATGATAATAATTGTATGTAAGAGGAAAATAATCGGCACTTACCTATAGCTCCAGGTAGAATAGATCCAGTTTCGGCAAATCGAGCTAAAATTTTGCTAACACATCCATGAGATACCAGAAGATGACGTGAGATGTCACAAGGTCGATAACCATAGAGAGCCAGTTCCAGAATACGAAAACGGATGTGGAAAGGCAGTGGTTTTCCATTAGCGAATGAACCACCCAATTGATTTATACCACCTTGGCCTATAAAAAAAGTTATGATTGCTGCTTGATACGAGATGTTCGCTTATATTTTTTAATGTTGGAAGAAAAAAACTAGAATATTTATTGTCCAGGAAAATTCTAAAATAAATTTTAGAAGTTTCGAAAGAGTAAAAGTTGTATTAACTAGATAAAATCTTTGATAATTAATGGAAATGCCCGTATGCGATTTCAAAAAGATCATTAAGTTATTATTAATATAAAATAATTCTTCATTTACTTGTCTTTATATATTTTTCCTCTGTCGCATTTTCCTTCTATTGAAAAAAAAACAAATGTTACTTGAGGCGAATTATAGTACATAAACTGAAGGGTTTTTTTAAGTAAGGAAAGTGTTTTATAAGACAAGAAACTTTTATTAAATTTGAAAATTTTGTTAATTAAATATTCCGATTTTCATCTACTATTAGATGAGTTTTCGTCCATGAAATTTGAACATGCAATGCGCGAATTCTCAGTAAATGTACATTTTCATAAATATTCTTCTGGTATATTTTCATTTAAATTCTATAAATCACACTTTTTATGCTTTATAAATGATTTTCTATTAATTATTTTTACAACCGAAAGGCTTTTTTTTATCCGTAATGATACTTGCAAATTCAAGAGTTAATCGCTTGCAAGTATTAGATTATCGCACGCCTACATACAAATTCGCAGATGAACTATTTATTATAGTTAATTTTAACAAATTTTAACAAATTTGCAATGCTTATCCTTAACTGTAATCTTAATAAATGTAGTGTTAACTAAGCTCGAGTAAGTATTCAACTCATCAAACTTTAAAACATAAGTCTTATTTGATTTAAACATTGAATCAAACTTATCAAAACCTATTAAAATTCTGTAACTATAAGTTATTCTTTAACTGTACAATAAAAGAAATTATTATAAATATGATGTTAATTTAAAATTACAACTAATTGTATTATGATACTTGATAGAAAAGTTGCTGGACTCACCTCTCTGCGTCATGTTAGATTCTCTTCGGGACAAAGTTTGGTTCACATTTTATAGAAGAAGATGCGATTGGATCCGAAGGGATGATTGTCATCGGCAGTAGAGGCGTGTGAAAGAACAGGTGTCCAAAACATGTCAGTCTGCCACGCTGCAACATTAAGGTCTTTCTACCAACCGCTAAATCTTGACCCCTAGAATAATTGGATAGGGGATTTGTGACTCTCCCATACTTTCAAAGTCACGGGAACGATCTTCGAATCGAAGCTTAGAGAAAGAAAAAGAAAAAAAGTGATCTGCTTCAAGTGATATTGTAAACACTCTTTGTGCCCATTCTTGTCTCGTGCCGCTCGTTTGCGGGATTGATTTTATTTCTTTTCTTGTATCTGTTAAACTCTGCCACAAAATTCTTCTATAAATTATCATAGTTTTTTCCTTCTTATAAAATAAATTCAATTAATGTAATTAATTAAATTTAATTAATTAAAACAATCGAATTCTCTACAAGACTTGAACTGGAACAATGTCGACGCTTTTTTCTTAATATTTTCCGTCTTTTTTTTTTCTAGTTTTGCTAATTTATGATTGCTAATTGTAATACTGTAAATTGGTTTATGATAATGTGAATATAATGTTTAAAAAGTATTTATTAAAGTTTTTTTTTAAATTTGGAGACTTTTTATAGAAATGAAAGTAAAATATTTCAAAATTTATTAGTAAAAATCGTTTTTTAATTAATAATTGAATTGCTTTCATGAGCATTTTTATTTGTGTATTTTGTGAAATTAGATCGTTATTATCCTCTAATTATTCTTATTTATTAAAATTATTGATCATAAATCTAAGAAATTTAAAACTATACAAGAAAGAGTGAAAAAAAAAATTGAAAAACAAAAATATATTTTTGCCAAGTTTTATAGAAGAATACATATTCAGAAATGGTCATTCGAGAACAATCAGGGGATTATTGACAGAAAAATAAATATTAATAGTAGCATTATCAGATAGATTTTTATATAAATGTCAGACGAAAAAGGCCATAAGTGGAAAAAATCTTTGAAGTGAAAATATTTTCATTTTATTATATTTATTTTCAATCAACCGATGAAGCAGCCCATGTAATCTTTATCTCATAATCCGATAATCCAAACGACGTTGGTGACGTGCAACAGTGTACTTCCGATATGAAACGTCATAGCGGAAATTGCGTTCTCGGTCACATGATACGATCAACAGATGCACGAGATTAAAGGAAAAAATAAGATGAACATAAAGATAGCTTTCTTACTTTTCAGTGCCTTTATAGAATTTTCACTTTATTTTATTTTATTTTTTATATTCGTAGTTTTTTTTACGACGAAAAGATTCAGCAAATTACTTTGTTTCGAGTAATTAGAAGTTGGTTAACTGTAAATAAAAGACATTTTCAACGAAATGCTACAAAAACTGTCTTTCTTGATCTATTTCACCATTAATGGTGACCATTTCCATTGACAAGTTGATGTATGTTCATTAATCCAGCCCACTTGTTTCTCACAACTTCCTTCCTTACTTTCACTTCAGGCCCGCATCTACAAATCTATTTTAGAGAATTATCATGTACTTTAGAAGTTTTACTGACGAGTGAGATCTATATATTATATTATATTATAGTATCTATATATTAACTTCATACATAGACATATTATTCAATATAATATACACATCTCTCGATTTTAAGGGCGTTTAAACCACTGAAATATTCTTATAAATTTCTAAATGACTTAATAAAATTTTTCATTTATAAAAGTATTGATTTTGTATTAAATAATCTTAAAATTTTACTTAATTTTTATTTCAATTTTAATTCAGTAATGTTATGCAAATCTATAAAGCGCNTTTGTTTACAAATGTATACTTTACTCCAGTAGTCTGTGTATAGAACCTGTAAGAACGTATATAATTTATATTTACGTATATATATATGCACATTTATTTACATTTAATATTCACATTATAAGATAAATTTTCAAGTTATCAAATTAGATTTTTAAGGTTCTATTGTAGATTTACAATAATTTACAATATATTTATTTTTTCATTTTTTACTCTCTTTGGACACAAAGAGGCCTGCAAAAGACTCTCTTAATGCCCCCAAACGGGGTGAGAGGCGGGATCATCCTCCGAAAAATTCACGGGATTGCTCTCCGGGATGCAATCCAGATCCCGCAGAGAGGTGGGCTGATGTCATAACCGTCTCGATCATCCGATCTTCCCAAATATATATTTACACATTTAAATAAAAAAAAGTGCAATAAATACATTTATAAACGAAAGAAAGAATCATAAATAACCATAAAAAATAAGAAAGTTTGAACTTGTTGATTGTCCTTGGACGTTTATTATATTGTATTCGAGTTGCATTCGGAGCACGTTGTCTCGTAAACTTCATATATTTCTACTGCCCACTTGAAATATTTATAAAAGTTATTATTAATAATTCCTACGACAAAATTTTTGCTACTCTTAAAAATATAACATAAGATTCATTTTATTAATTTTATCTTTTTTTTTTGGCCCCGTATCACTGACTGAATTCGTTGTTGATATGGTCGTCATGACTACGTTGATGGCATTGTCAGAGAAGTCTATTTATCGAGCTATTGTTTGATGGAAGATTTTCCAAACTACATGTGTGTATATATATATATATATATACTCACATAAGCTTTCTTCTACTAACATATACAGTTTTCAGTCTTCATATTTATGCTTGGCCAAAAATATACTGTGCTTATCAGGTTTTAAAAATTTTATATATATATACTAACCCTTTGATAGGTAACTTAAGAGGTTGTCCAAGACCTGGACCTTCTAAAACAAAGACACATTTACGAAGTGGTTTTGGCAAAGGATTTTTGAAATAGGCAGTAACTTCGAATGGCTGCTCTTGGACAATTTCGGTTTCAGTCTAAAAATATAATCATAAAATAAATTTATATTCTGAATTTTTATGAATAAATGATTTATAAATGAAATCTTTCTTACCTCTATAACTATGTCAGGCATTCTAACTCTGAAATCATCTTGTGCAAAGTAATCAAAATCTGTTTCAATTACTTTTGCCATTGCGGCTATGTTAAATGCGCACTGATCGGCTAGTACTTTAGAGTATTCATCAAAAGTTAAATTCATTTTTATTTCCTCTTCTATAAACAGAACAAAATGAAAAAGTAATGAGCCATGGCACCCTTTACTAATTACATATTTTGACCTAAATTATTATAATACAATATCTTGCTCTTCATGCTTACCTGTATTTGGAGCAATCTTTATGCTAAATTTATCCTTCTTTACTAAATTTTTTAATTTTCCTGTATATAAAACTGTATCGACTCGTAACACAATATCTAAATTATATTCCTTTTCTGTACTTTTGTTTTGTGCTTTCAATTTAACCTTAAAAATTAAGTTTATTAATACATAATGAATTTTAAACATTAATAAATAAATATAAATCATGTATATACCGAAAATGGAGATCCTATAACAATATCATCAAGGAGAGTAAAGTCAAATTCTACATCTTCCATTTCTTCATTAAGATAATATCTGGAGAATGAATTTCTACATTGTCTTAAAGCACGAAGCATTACTTCTCTTTCTTCTGTACTTTCTGTTATTATTTTGATTAAAATTAATTATAATTATCTGCTTAAAATTACACGACTATAATAAAATATAACGTAATTTTATTTACTTTCTTGATATTTGTATTCTGAAGTAATATCATCACGCTCGAAAGTTCCCATCATCTTTGTACTTATATGCTGCCCAATTCTGAAAAGACATTAAGATAAAATCAATATAATCCACGAAGATGTTTAAATGATCACGTTCTTTCGAGTGATAATGCAATGCTAAGCTTAGCAATCTTATTCTATTGCCAAAAATTGCATCAATTATTAAACTCCTAAAAATAGGGGCGAGTTTAATTTCCATAAATAATTTGTCCCCGGTATTGGGACTAATCTCCGGAGAAAGAAACACGTGACAAAAAGGGAAATTTCTAAAGTAGATTATAGTACGGCAAGAGGAATTCGTGTGGGATGGATGATTTTGAAGGACAGCATGACATCATCATTAGTAGAAGAATAGAGATTTCTTTGTGTGAAAATGAATCTGAATATTAAAATTCAAGGTTGAAATCTCGAAAAAAAAAATAATAATTTCGAAATTGTTTACATATATTTAAAGGTAAAACAAAGGTAGAAATATTCTAAAATGTTTAATTCTTTTTAAATTAAACAATGCTTTCCTACGAATTTTAAATATATTTACAATTAAACAATAAAGCAATTAACGAATAAAATAAAGCAACTAAAATTTTATTGCATAACGTTTTCCGATTTGAAGTTTTAATTAGATTAAATATAATTTTTATTACATTTTTATGCTATATTTTTGGCTTATTTAAAAGTTTTAATAACACTTATTAATAAAAGAAACCTTTGCTATTCAGTTAATAATATTTCTAGCTCTAAAGCTGAATACTTTATTTTATTTTGGGTTCTATTTATCAAGTATACATTAATGAATCTACACTAGAAAAAAAGCTGATCCTGATAATAGACTTTGCCCGAGGCATAAGAATCTTCCCTCTCCCAATACTTTTGAATGCAGTACGGATGCATTTATCTTGCTATTCATATAGATATTGGATTACAAATGATTTTTTTCTTTTTTTCTTTGCATGTTGAGAGCCTTTTCATACTAAAAATATAAAGGAGCGAGGTATTATTATCTAAGTTGAAATTTAAGATGATTTTACGATATCCTGTAATCACGAGAGGCCCATAGCATATTCCAAAAGTCCTATTTTCTTCCCATAACATTGTTCAAAAGTATAAACTACAATATCGTTAATTCGAAGAATGAAAGCACAGTTTTTTCTATATTTTTAAGCACTTTCAGTCACGCACACGATATCCTCTGCCCACATACAGTTTATGCGGTTTTCTTTATATAATTAGTTTTCTTCCCTCTTAGGAATGCAATTACCATTAGACTAACTTTCCTGTAACCTACAAAAATACTCACGTGTCTGAAGATTTCATAATGAGTTTCAGGGGCTTATTATCGCCTTTATATCTCCAGTATACTTTGTCTGCATTTACTTCAGCGAACAAAAATGCAGTATCGTACGCTTTCATAATTTCACCTCGTTTTATCGCAGTTACGCTTGCAGGGCCGCATCTATAAACGCCTAAACATAAAATAATTTACATAAATTTCCTTTATTCGCTATGAAGAAACTCCTTACTAACATACACACCATCAGATTTTTCTTGGGGTGTTGCGTCAATGGCTTGCCACCCACCATAACCTCCCGGTTCCAAATCTGGCCTCTCCATCCACACTTCGTTCCAAACGTGGAAATTCCTTAAAATATAAACTTGTTTATTAATATATTTTTAAACTTTTCTTTAGTATATTCTGAGAAAATTGTTTACCAAACTGAATCGATGTTAAGTCGCGAAATTGGATCACCCGAATCATCAAAGAACTGATCTATGGTAAGACTGTTATGAGTATCGTGGGCTGAAGCAAAATTGGTGACACTTCGACAAGGAATACCAAGAGCACGGCATACTGAAACATTGAAAGCGATAAATTTAAATATAGATATTATGAAATTTTATGTAGATGTAGCCACATCTTGTAACAAGTTAAATCCTATTTGATAAACTTTCAAACTCTTAACTAAAATACACCATTTTAGCAATTTAATAATTATATTTACCTGTTGTACATACTCCGGAAAAGACCCAACATTGCCCAAATTTAACAGGTTTTAATGTTTTATAAAATTGTTGTAATATAGCCATGCTTCCTCCCCAAATAGTAGGTGAGACACCACCGTTATAGTCACCTTTCCAGTTACCCACTATAACTCCTGCATCATCTGGAGAATTCATCTGAAAATAAAAACTTACCATTTAATTTTATTCCATTAAAAATGTTTAATTTTTGTATAAAAACATATAATATCTAACTAAAAAGTAAGATATATTTTTTGAATGACTGTGGATGGGTTTTCTCATACAATTAAATTTCCAGTAGAATAATAATTCACTATATTTAGAGTATAATCTCTGACTTTACATTATAAAGAATAAAATTGAAATGTGTAATATATATAATTTTAAGAATTTAAACGTAAAATAAGTAATGTTATTAATAAAAAATAATAAGTATTAAGGCGTTTAAACGTGTTTTATATCTACGCAAACCTATGAAGATTAATGTGAATTTGACAAATTATCTTCCAAGATTAAAAAGTTTTAAGTCTATATTTACAAAATACGATAACTTTCACTTATATTTATAGTTAGAAAGTCACGAAAAAATTATAAAATTTTACCGAATGACAGTCACAATGCAAGTAAAAGAGCGATCTCTAAAAGATCATACCAGAATTTTTTTTATAGATCATCTTCTAAGTCGATTTTAAAATCGATAAATATAAATAACAATTTATTTATAGAATCAAAAAATAAATAATTTTGCAAATATTAAGGTTATATTTTTTAAAATCAGATTAACCACATTCGTTTCATGGAAGAAACATAGGAAGATCGTTATCGACCACGACCAAACACATTTAGATGTAGCTTAGAAAATGTTATAATTAAATAATTATTATAACCGAAAGAATCGGTTGCATTGTAAACAATGATTAAATATTCTAAAATTAAAAAAAAATAGTAATAAAATATTAATTTTTTAGTAATAAAATCATTAAATTCATTAAATTAATCAAACCTTAACAAAATTAAACATATGAATATAATAAAATTATATTTAAAATAATAATACAGTAATAATATTAAATATACTTTCCATTAAGTCACATTTATATTTTATTTTTATTATTAAACATAACGCACTTATCTAATAAAATAAAAGATATTTTAATAGGTCTAGATGCAAAAAATATCTTTTAAATGATGTTAACAAACATAAATGTAGCAAAATAATTCAAAAAAATTGCACAGTAAGCCATAACGAAAGAAGAATGTTTTGATTGCTCAAACATGAATCTACCGCAAATACCAAATTTTAAGTATTTTTTTTTTTTTTAAATTTTTTGATGGATGGTATGATTGTGTTGTAAGTTTTATATACTATACCGAAATGACAATGAGAGAACACCGGATGTCGGTACGACTTTTGTATGACTTGAGGCTATTAAACTGGACTCTATGTAATTATTACCTTATCGGACAGATCGTCTTTCTACTTCTGAGCGTAGTAGAGTAAAAGAATAGAAAAAAAAAGAAACATTGGTTATATAATTACAGTTATCTTTATTTTACCCTACAGTTTATTGCGGATAAAATGAGTATGTTGAATCGGGATTCGGGTGATTTGTTTCTCTTGAAACGATTCTCCTTTCTTGGAATTTATTCGATCTTTGATTATTTTTTTCTAAAGGATAATCACAAAATTTGGATTTAAACTTATAAATATTCTATCTACAAGTTAACTATAGGGAAAAAAATCATTTTATTAGTTAATTTTTAAAACGTTTTGTAATTCTTGTTGGGAACGTAATATTGTTATTAAAATAAATGTATTAAAACAGAAATAAAGTAAGTAAATATAAGATAATTTGATGAATAGTAGTTTATTTAAGAGACACTTTAAAATGTTGAGTGCAAGACAATCCCATATGTTTTAAGGTATAAAAAATTGAATGAACAACACTTACGACAGCTGATAAATGGCGCACCACTTTAACCGGATCAGCTTGGTTAACTATTGATAAATTGCCAACAGAAGTTAACAAGTAACAACTGCATTCCAAAATATTTTCTTCAAACTATAAAAAAAAATACGCAACGAATAAAAACAACTTAGTCATATCCGTTGGTTTGTTAAATAACGGAAAAATACAAAACAAAAGATACAATGGCTACCTGTGCATAATTCCATATACAAGGCCTGAGCCTATTGTGACTTCCTCTCCAAAGTAATCCGCTATCATTTAAAACGTATTCTTTCCTAGCTTCCTGATCACTCAGGTACACCGAATCCTCTATATTTAATTAGAAACAAATGTTTTAATTGACGGTGAGTCATACAAACATAAACACTCTCTTTATTAAACATTAAATGTAACTTACGTTTACACCAAGGGTTGAAAAGTATATAAATTGGTTCTTTGAGGGTGTAACGATTCGGGATGGAAATATTTTCCTTTTCTGTTTTTAGTTTAGTGTCCACGTCAACGGACCATACACCAACAATGGAGTTAGATGTTGGGAAAACCTAAAAATATCACAGAAGATTCTTAAAATAATATTTATATTTTCTTTACACTCGAAACCTGGAAATTTATTACGTGAAAGAACTGCAGAAAGAGTAAAATAGATAAGTTTCATCGAATAATAATGACAATAAAAAATATTATTGCGCAAGTAAAAAATCTTGAAACACGCGAAGTAAGTCTGTCACTTCATTATCAGTAAATATAATTATATATTCTAGATAATGAAGATAATCATTCAAGTACGATAGGAAAAAAAATTCCTCGAAAAATAACACTGATAATTTTATCACACTTTATAATATAGACTAAATATTACTAAATTTAAATTGTAAATAGGCAAGAAAAGTAATTAAGAATAATTTTCGAAATACTTATTAATTTTTATGTTTACCTGTACTAAAATGCTTTTATCTTCCTTAGATATAAGTTTAGCTTGCCATCCATCCGATGGTAAAGTATCATCCGATTCTGGTACAATTGGTGTAATGATAAGTGTACCTTGCGAATACGATGGCGTTTTGGCATCTGTTAACAAAAATAATTCAGTGATTAATATAAAAATAATTGTAAACTTAAAATATTTAATACAAATACTCACTTTTCACAGTAAATACTAAGCAGACAGCGTCTTTGGTTTCGTTATATTCTCGATTGAAATTGATGGTGAGTTTAAATGGAAATCCTCTTCTAACAACTAACGTTGGAGATTCCTTCTTCACTGATTCATATTTGTCAGTATAATGTGAGACAATGTTGTCGACTAAACATAGATCTACGCTATCTACAAGCAAAGACGACTCTTCTATGTTTTCTCCATCTTGGGATGCTAAAATAAAAAAACTCTCATTTATAAACCGGGTTCTATATCTTTGTCAATTAATTAAATAGTACGAGTATAATGATTTCATTTCGATATTTATATAAACTAAAGCACTACCAAAGTTCAACTAATTAACATACCATCAAATTATTGATGATGATGTGTGGTTAACATAACACTATATCTTGCTCATTCTTCTTTAAAAAAAACCAAAAGTTTTGTTTATTTATAGATACAAAAATAAACCGTATTTCAAGGACATTAACACCAAATACTAATAAACAACATAACTTATAAGGTCGACTTTAAATTCGTTAAATTTAGAAGAAAAATTAAGTTGAAAATATTCTTTATTAAGTAATATTTTGTATAAGATTATTCGAATAATTTTAATGTTTACTTTTAAATTCTTTCGATGGGAAAATATATGTATATATATATATATATATATATATATATGTTTTTTTTTCTTTTTGTTTTTCCCCTCCAAAACAAAATGGAAGAAATGCTCCGGGCAAATATCAGTAGACAACCTTGAACTGGAGCCAAGTAATTCTGTACTAGTCGTAGGCATTTATATCACGGATATGTAGAATTTATAATAATGAACTATATATAACTATTGTTATCCAATTAATATTTCACTTAATATAATTATATCTTTACGCACTAATGATTTATTATTTAAATAAAGTAGGAACAGAAAACGCTTGACACCTTACCTTGTCAAAACTATTGTTTTCAACCGTTTAAAATATTTTCCATAGCTATAATTTTTATATTTTCAGCTTAAAATTAATGAAATATGCATAGTTTATGCCTGAATAAATTATTATTTGTTTTAGAACGTTTAAATTCCAATTATAAAATGAGTCACTAATAAAAAAAAATATGTGTATATAGTAGACTATAGAATATCCGATAACGATCAGATCTTCGTAACGCACTTAATAAAGGCAATTTCTTGAATTAATTATGAAACAATCAGATAAACGAACAAAAATTAATTAACAATGTTCAGGTTTGGTTTCCTCTAAATAAATAAATTTAAAAAAAAGTTGAAACTTTTGCTATTTTGTTATATTAATTAATTTAATAAGGTTTAATTAATTAATTATTTCCGATTAATATCACCGACAGAGACTAGTAGAAGGTCAGTTTAATATAAACTATAACATTAACCTTATTTACAACTATTATTATTTCAATTAACTCCAATCAAGTGTTATTATCCAATGATTAGACAATGCTTTCAATTAAATAATTTCAAAAAAGTATTCAAATTCCTTAAACTGATTTTTTCCGTTTTATTTCTTTCGCTTTAGAATTTTTTCCTAATAAATTCTTCACCTGATGCCATTCTGTGCCTCAACCAGGAGACTAGCATCACTTGAACTTTGACCTAGTAACATCATTTTCCACCATCGTAAATATTTTACATGGCGACGTCACTTATGCCCTTGAATTATCAGTTTACTCGTATTTGTAAAAATAAAAAAATAAAAAAAAACTGATTTTATATATTTTAAAACAATAAATTTATATAAAAATTTACATTTTCGTTCGATTTTTTGGGGTCTTAATTCTTAAAATTTAAACTTATTTTATATGTAAATTTTTGCGAAATTTTTATAATAATTTTCAGATAAATTTTCATCATAATTTTATAAGAAACGAGATTTTTATGACTAGTAATAAAAGGTCAACAAGCTAAATGCTAGACAACATCTGCTTTCAGATTTAAAACAATATTGCGTTTATAGTTTAGGAAAATAAATTAATAAAAATAAAAATAAATTAATAAACTGTATTATTTTTTCTACTTGCCTTCCGTTAAAATACCAAAATTTTAAATTTAAAAAATATAATAATAATAATAAATTAAGTATTAAATTACTACAAATAGCAAAAGTAATAAATATTTTATCTAAAGAGCAATGAACTTTACAAATGATACTTTGGCCTTTATTCACTTGGAGTCTGTAAAAAGAGTTTTAACTTAAGAAAATAAATATAAACTTTCGATAAAAATTGTCTAAATTAGAAGTAATCGTTTAATTCGAAATAATTAAAACACCCTTTAAAAGCCTCTACATCCAAAGTGACATCATAGTTGCTGATTCAGATGAACAGGAAATGAGATAAGTTTGAGATCATAGTTGCTATATGTAGCCATTTGCAATCCTTGTTAATCATAAAATTAACTATTTAAAAGTGTATTTTAATTATAGAAATTTCAAAATTAAAGGTGAATTTGGGGGTTATTAAATAGATAGAACGGTATGCAATCTACAACGCATGCTCCAATGTCAAACTTCGCCCTCCCCCCTCTAAAAAACTGGGATCATGGGATGCAAAGAACTGGTCAGAGTAAAACTTTAGTAACAGTAGTCATAAACAAAACAGAAATCGGTAATACGATACGCCATTTGAAAGTCTATAGCTGTATTTACTTGGGAAATATTTATCTTAAGAGTTTACTTGACTATATACATCTTAAAATATAATTTAAACAAAATAGATAACTTTGTAACATAGTTTCTTTAAGATTTTAACGTGTCAACCATCTTAGATCCGCCACACCCACTCTTAGTACTTCACCTTGACAAGTACAAGTTTTCATTGTTGTAAATTTCTGACGCCATGAAGTAATGGCAAAAAATAGAATATTAAGAATATTAAAACAACCTTGCAAAGTATGCACAACTATGATAAACATTTATACAAAAATAATAAAAATAATAATTACGCTAACATAGGAATGTATTGGAAGGTACTCACGCTTGCTGTCTGGCTTGGTTGGTTCTGTATCATCTGTAGTGGTTGGTTTAGGAGGTTTATTTGGTGTTAAGGGTATAATCGGTGTTGCAGTCGATCCCGATCCTTGATTCGGCCTAAATTGGGCCCTAAAAGAAGAGAGACAGTTACCCATCTGGTCAGCGTGTCGCAGACAGTGTGTGGTTCTACCAGGTCTGTCTACTGTTTCAGACAGGCAAGATGTTTAACCTCTGACGTAGGTAGCTGTGTGTGAGTATGTGTGTGTGTATATGTGTGTGTGTGAAGATAAGGAAGGAAAAATATTAATATGTACGCCCGAAGCTAGCTTTACTCCTCTTGGATAAATAACTGAGCATGCGTAATATCTAGTTTCTGAATGGCTAACTGATAATTCAAAGAACTATTCAATTCAATTTCAGTTTTTTTACGTATCGTTAGGGTGAGTTCTTGTATAACTTTCCCGTTAATGATGTAGACTTAAACCAGCATCTTTTTGGAGACGTCAGGTGAACATGTACGGAAAATTAGGACAAATACTACAGACTGAGAAGAGGGTAACTGACTTGTATGACAACTTTAACCGAGTTAAATTCGGTATTTATTGAATATAAATTATCTTCACGCTTTGTTTATTCTAATAAGGGTCAAAAAATAAATGATGTTGAACTGAAATCGTGATGGATATTTAAAGCCACTGAAAGAAAGTGTTGAAATTTATGTAAAAAACGAATATTTTTACTTAAATTATGTTCTATTTTTTATGCTAAAAAGTTTATCTTTTCTTCATTTTTTTTAAATTTAAACTTTAAAATTATATGAAGTAAACTTGAAAAAAAGAAATTAGTGAGCAATATAATGAATAGGTTGCTATTTTATATTTAATATCCTGTCTATCATTTCTGTTTATCCTGTCCACTGTCTGCTCTTTTTGGTTAATTAATTTTAATAAGGAAATCTGGCTTTTAGTCACTCTGTTCGTCTTAGGAAGTTATTTAAATAAACATTTTTTTCTTCTAGGACTAAAATATATATAATATTTTTTAATGTTTTAATAATCCAGTTAACTGCTGCGGCATCAATAATTAAAAAAAAAAAAAATACGTATGCTGAAAGCCGCAGTAATATAAAATAGTTTATGCCATATCAATATAAATAAATTCAGAAGCAGGATGTTATAATTCCTCCTAAACATCCTGTTAATGCGAGGAATTTCAACATTGAATTTTAATAATCGAATAAAATCTAATTTATTATTATTACTATTAATATTTTTTAGATCTTTAAGTAAAAATATTCGGTTTGCTTATGTTTACATACCACCGATCTTGCCCTAGTTGCGCGAGTAATTTATACACCGTTTAAAAAAGAAAAAAAAAATTTTAAAGAAACATTAAGAGAATTATTCGTATACAAATCGTAAATCGTGTAAAATCAATTCTCAAGTATGCTGAAAATAAATAAATTAAAGTATAATTCCACGCGGGGTTAGAATTTTTCGATCGTGACGTCAATATTTTGCGTGAAATTATGAGTAAAAACGCTACATAAATCGTGATGTAAGAAGGATTTTGTAATTAGGATTTTTTTAAAACAATATTTTAAAATTATTTTATAAGAAAAGTATGTTTTAAGTATTAATTTATTGAATTTTGATATATTTTGTGTATAATATTTCAAAATTAATTAAAAATACGAGAAATCTTAGTAAGAAATTGGGTTTAACGTGATATTCCCCAGCTGTTCCCAGTCACGGTTGCTGTAAAGTGCAGATCTGTGGACAAACGTTATACAATAAACTCCCCACAGACTGCATTCCACACTCAATCAGTCCTTCCCTCCTTTAGAAGCACCGTATTCAGAATTAAAGTGACTTTCCCACGCAACTTCTGCATGATTCTTCACCATACAAAGAAAACCAGAAACGGTTTTGATTGATTGAATATTTAATTTCAGTAATATTTAGAAATTTCAACGTCATTCGAGTGCAGCTTAACATCGTAGTTACATACTTAAGAATATTATTATCAATTTTATAAAATATTTTATGTAAGCATACAGAACAGACATACTAAACATACTAAACTTGTAAATATTATAATTGCATATTTATGTTTATTATTATTAAGGAGCTAAATCGAGTTAAAATGCATTATTTTCTTGAGTAATATTCAGCCTAATGATTCATCGAATGGATAAAATTGACGCATAACCATTCGATTAACCCATAATTATATACTCATAGATTTACAGACCATAAATGATGAATCTATAGATTAGTGAGGAAGTTTTCAGCTTAGAAACAGGAAAAAATATGACTTAATATATTAATCATAACTTTGGTTTTACAGATTTTATCTCAGCACGTTACATGACTCTAGAAATGACGTCAATTTTACTAAGAATTCGTTTTATTGTTGCTTATTATATTTCTATAATATCGTTTATTAAACTTTAAATGCTTAAAAACAATAAATTGTTAAAATATATTCAAACATTTTTTATTTATTACGTCAAGAAATAGTTTTATAAATTATAGAAGTTATGTTCATGGTTATAGTTACACCCATGAATTTTTCTTCGTTTATATACTAAATTAAATCAGTAGGATACAATACAGGGAAGGATTTACACATAAATTAAACAAACTAAAACTGAGGGCCTCAATCTACGAGTCTACAATTCAGGGCCTCAAGCTTTCGAATTTATTATTCTGTGGAAAGAAAGGGCTTTTATATATTATAGCTTAAGCCTACAATAAGTCTAAATTCGTTCCTTATGCAATGATTTTACGTTATGATATTTATTATCTGTAACAGTATCGTATACTTAGTCTTATAACTTAAATAATTGAATAAAAAAAACTATAGAAATTAATAATTTTTAACAAGTTATTATGGCAGTTTTTTCAAGAACACATTTTTTTAAATGTTTATAATTAGTGTATATTTTTTATTTTCGTGACTTGTCAATCCTTTCTTTGATAAAATTTCTATGTTCAAGGATAAACAAGTCATGTAAATGGAATGATAATAAATATCTTATCAAACTTTAATAAGTTATATAAATAAAGTCTGTATATAAATTCTAACTTTCTTAGGATTATTTAATTAATTTGGATTATTCTGTTAATAATATTTTAAAAGTTTTTAAGTAAAACAATCATTTTTTTTATATTATAAATTTAATTTTAACAATAAAAGAAAACAAAGCTATATACATAATATTTTTATAGGTTTAATTTTTATTAATTATGAATTTAATGAGTTTCTTTTTTCTTATTTCCTTACAAATTATATAACAAAAACATAAGTTGAAATAAAAGAAAATATAATTATTTAACTTATTTTTAATAATAAGAGTTAATTTTAATTGTGTAATTTTATTATACATTTACGAAAGCATTTTTGAAATTAAAATCAATAAAAATAAATGGAATGAAACGTGTTATTTCCCTATTTGAAAGGAAGTACAGGAAATAAAATGCTTTAAAGGAAGTTTTGTGTAGAATCATTATATAATAATACGTCAATTGTCATCTGCCACACCTTTTAAGATATAACCTTTCTAAAGTTCTTTCTAAAGTTCATTGAAGAGAATCATATAAAAACTACAGTTTTTTTTCTAATTTTAAATGAAAGAATAATCTATCTGTATCTTAACTATAATCGATATTAAGGAAGCCCCGGGCCCTCTGGGTTTCTCTCTCGTTACTTTTTCGATATCTATTTACGTTATTCAACTATTTAAAATTGCATATAAAATATAATTTAAATTTAAATAATATAAATTTTAACAAATATTTGACTTATTTCGTGCTCTAACTGTTGAGAAAATTGATATTTTTGGATTAAGAACGATAGCGAAAATGAAACAACATTAAATGTTTACAGGAAGTAAAAGTACAGAAACTAATCAAGTGGGAAATTTTAAGGATTTTTTTTAATAAAAGCGTGAAAATAAATAGAAATTATTTTAAATTCCGAATATATATAGTCATAAATTAGAAAGCCGTTGAACATATGCAATCAGCATGATACATACGCCTACAATGGTGACAAGTGTTTTAAAGAATGTGAAAATAGGTTAAATGAAACCGTTATTAACCGACCTTAAAATGTAACCTGATAGCATTGGAAACAAAGTTTCAATTTCATAAATTATCATTAGATATTAAACCTAATTTTAAATAATAGAAAGCAATTATAATATATTATTATATTAAGTACACTTATGTATTTTTTTTAAAAAAAGGATTATAATAACCAATAAGTAAATAATATGTTATAAAATACAAAGAGAATATAAAGAAAAAATATCCTAATTAAGAAATATTTTCATATATTTATATTGATTTATATTGTTAAGTTTGAATATTTGATCCATCAGTGAATGATTAAAACCATTTAACACTGATCGCCTCATCAACGAGTTACTACATGGAATTTTTTGGATTTTTTTGAAGTATCTAATAACTAAATAGGGGCCAGTTTCCCATAGAAAGTCCTACCGAAAGGCATCCTTTCTTGGTAGATTGCCCATGTGTTGCGTTGCCCAACAACAACTTTGAATATTTTATTGCTTGATAGAAAATTGTGTTCGAAATTAAGTTTTTTATATATATAATATTACCTGTAAAATGATAATATCAGGTCAAAACTCTGAGGTTCGTGTAACAGTAATTGGCAATGCATCTGCACTGAATAAAAGTTGTGGGTTCGAGTGCCATTCCGGATCGATCTTTTCTTCCAGAATATAATTAACATCTTTACATTCTCGACAGTCAGATGGAAACTTAATCGCTTATCTTTAGTGCAAATTATTTTGTATACTTAATTAGCCAAGTTTTGGCCCAATGAATACGGATGTTACAATTTGATTAATTTATAATTTCGAGCTTAGTTTACTTTAAAAGTAAATATTTTATATATTTTATAAGTCAGATTTAACCCTTGATTAATTACATAAGAAATTTTGTATATATTGTAATGATTATAATTCGTTGAATTTCGTTAACATTAAGCTCGATACTTAAAGAAATATGAAACTATCAAGAAATTTTCTTAACACTATAAATACAGATGACTCTAACAGTAGTCATAGATATGGTTTCTCATTGTATTTGGAAGACTGTAAGAAAAGTTAGGGATAATATATTAATTTCTCTTTAATATTATTGAAAGTAAGTCGATATCCTTTCTTTTATTTTGTTTTTTAACTGTGGATATGTCTATCATTAAATTATGTTTTATATATATTATACTTTATACAACCATTAATAATATTTATTTATTTTGAGTTATATCACTTACATCACAGATAAAATCTCATATGCGTTTAAATATTTCTATTTTATTTTACGCTTGGATTTATCAAATAATAAGTTATTTTTTCCTATTTCGATTGAATAAGCGTGGCTATTTTTGTTATAATTATTCGTTAAAGTTATATACAGTAGAACAATCGGAGAATCCAGAAATATTCAAAAGGGACTAACTTAAAAATTTAAAACATTTGAATAATTAATAAGCATCTTTTATTAAGGCGTTGTATTGCGGATGGTCTGATAAATCATATTTGCTACCATAAATGTTTTTAAAAACCACGTTTTGAAGTTCGAACAAATAAATTTTAATTTTTGTATATGTTTGTGTGTATTATGTCAATAGAAAAGGACCTAGAGACTACTAGAGCTTATTCTGGAGGCTATAATATTCTACAAAACCCTGATTATCCGACATAATGTGAACTGATAGTACCGCGTTTAACCGAAAACTCGGATAATACGGGCGGCCACGCCTATTTTGGAGTAAAAATTACAAATATAAATGGATTCGGTCAGTCCCCCCTTTGTGGTCCTGGCCGAATTCATAATGGGCTTGCTATAAAGCAAGCCCATTATGAATTCGGCTATCTTAGTGCCCACAGAGCGGAGTTTAAAAACACCTGAATGGTTTGTCTCATTGAAGGTAACAGAAACAAATCATTTTGGAATACATGTTATTTTAAACTTTCATCGCGGATAATGTGAAACCTCGGTTAGTCGGAGTCCGGATAATCGGGATTTTGCTATATTTAAATTAAAAATTTTAAATCTTGTTAACATCAAGATAATGTTTAAGGTTAATTATTAAGGAGTTATTAAGCTTGAAATTCGGTGAACAAAATCGTGCTCTCTACACACACATACAAACACAAACACATCCATTCATACATACATACATACATTTAAAAAATACTAACTTTTTTTGTATTTCTCGATGTTTCAAGGTCTCCTGAGTCCAAAATCTGTGTATATTCGTAATCATGTTTTAATATACATTAATTGAAAGTTTGTTAAATAAAGTGATTTCAGATAATAGCATCGCTATTGTTTTATAGGAATTAATTCTATTAATAAAACCATAAAACATTTGTGTCTTTTTAAAATCTTATAAAAATGCTTTCAAAATATTTCAAAAATAAAAAACTTGAATGCAACATATGTTATATTAGAGAATAATTGACATTTGTCATGATGAGCTGAGAAATTAGATGTTGCTGCACAAGAAAAAACAATAAAACTTTGTTTTCGATATTGAATAATTCTGAAAAATAAATAATCTCAAAACAAGAATATGACGTATTTATAATACTAAAGTTGTTTTCTTTGATAAGTGTTGATTTATGTTATTTTATTTTGTTTCAAAACTTGTACCAGGGAGAGTCAAACGAAAACCTTAATTTGTAAATAAATTCCAGTTTATTGATTCTAAATGTCATACTAATCTGCAGCATAGTCTTTATTTCTTGCAATGCATACCAACCCTTGTTACAAAGTCCACGGATTTCTCTCAAATAGAATTATTTTCGTTGCTTGTAGACTTGTAGACCTATGAACTACCTTCTGCATCTCTTCATCTGATGTGAAAATTATGAAACTCAGCACCTATTTAGTGGTTCAAATAAGTGATAATCACTTGAGGTCTGGTGAGTGTAGAATTTTTAAAACACACCATATGCATTTTTCCATGAACGCAACTGTTAAATGAAAAATATGTAACCAAATATCTTACATATAATAAATCATCTAACACCTGATACTGAGAAAAACGTTTATTTAAAGAAACATTAACGTTTCTTTATATAATTTATACAATGTAGCTTCGCATTGTCTTGTTACAGAAGAACCCCATTATGTTCAACGAGGATGATATACTTAACATCAGTCATGCTATTGCAATTCTGTCAATTCTGCATCCACCGTAACAAGACATTTTTCCTGTACGATGCGTTCAATTTCGGCAATTGACTGTGGTGTTACAACTCAGTGAGCTTTTCCCGGTTCCTGATCATCATCTATAGAAGTCATGCCACTATAAAACTTTCTACACCACTTGTGCACTTGCTCAAGAAATGTGCACGCACTCCTATACTGAACCTTCATTTTGAGATGAATTTTTGCTGTTTTCATCCTTCACTACTAAAGAATCTGATAACAGAATGATGTTCTTACCTGGGCCATCTTAGGGCTGCTGCTGTGACATCACAAATGTAGCCAGGTGCGTATTGATTCCTAGTACTCACTTCCCAGATGTCTTTCAACAATGTTCTAAATTTGATAAAAATTATATAAGTTTTCGAATTTTTACACACATTTTAAGATTTTCCTTTGACTGATCTGTGTGTGGTATATGTCAACTACTCGATATAGTTTGTGCTAACATAAATAATATTAATTTCTTCATATATAATTATTTAATGAGTAACTAAGAAAAAGTAGGTTTATTATTTTTGTAACGAAGCAAGATGTATCAAAATTTAATAATTATTTAATAAAATAATAGGGATAGTTCCAGATTCGGGATGAATTTATTTCTAAAAAATATTTAATTTATGTAATCAAAAACATGCCATTAAGATCGATCTCATTATTACTTATTACAAGTGGACCTGATTTAAAGTTTTCTCCAGCAAATTTTATCAAAATACACTTTTAGCCTTGCCAAATGTGTATTGGATTGGATAAGGCAACGCAACACAAAGGTAATCTCCAAAGAGGGGAATGATTTCTATGAGAAACTGGCCTCTGTTTACATGTTAAACACACGAAGAAAACTCAGAAAACTCCACCTTGCCAGCCTGTTAGTAGGGTGCGAACCCACGACTAACAACTGACGAGCCCTTGCTGAATATGATTCAATACTTTAAAAACGATACGAGAACAAATGTTTTAAATTGTTAATGAATATTTAAAAATGCAATTTCAGTAAAAATAAGTGTACGAAATGTATTTTCTATATGAGTCGCGACATCGCGACGCCTATGATATAAACTTTTCTGTCTTCTGTTCTCTTATTTTTAACTTATGTAGACACCAATTCGATACGTCTTCACATTCTAATTATGCTAAATTTGCGAAAATAAAAATGAAAATATCTACCGGAAAAGAAATCAATATTATCATTGCTACAGTAAATGTATCGTTTTAATGTTAATATATTCTTTGGCAATATAATTTATTATAAATATATTCATATCGAGAAAACTTTGCTTTCATATTGAAAGCAATTAGGAAACTTAAACAAAAAGTCAATAACTATGTATTTTTATTAGATTAATTTTAATTCTAAATAAAATATTTTAAAAAATTTATTTATAAATAGTTTAACATCTATTTAAAATTTTAAAAAATAATTTATTGGCAGATATGTAAAACTTTATATTCCAAATCCCGTTTATATTCTTCTTTTGTAAATTTTTCGTAAATTATTTTTACAGATTCTTTTTTAAATACTATTTTAATTCCTTAAAGTTTTAGTAGCTTTCATAATTTTTTAAACTCTTTCCACCTTGTAGACTCTAAAAGGGCCTTTTTTTCATACCCATCGTTGCTTCGGTCAGACCCACAATAAGGGCAACCAAGTAGTGAAGGATAGAGCCCGAGGTACCCGCCACGAACCGTTATGAAAAATTTTTGGGGTTTATGAACCTCTCGGATTCGATTCCGGGTCCCATAGAGCGGTAGTCTAGCTCTTAAGCCTTCGAAGAAACCTATTTTCCATGCACAAGTAGGCAAGGTGTAAGGGAGCATAAAGTGTCCACCAGTGGTCAAGAGGTTCCGTTCCCGTGGAGTTTTACGGGTTTTCTCCACTCCTTTAACGCTTAAATATGAGCCAATCACCCTTAAAAAACCTCCCTGCCTAGGCAGATCGCCCAGACGTTGCGTTGCCATAACTAATACAAGAAAAAACAACGGGAGTATAAGCACAGAGCCCAGGACAAATGGGGTGATATCGAATGTGATCAGTATCATATTTTCAATATGAAATTTTGTTTCTGTGAGAGCCTATTCCGTAACTTTTTTTGGATAAAGTTAAAAATTAATCGATCATTTCTATCGTATTTGTTTTTTTTTTTAATTATTTTTTTCCAAAAAAAATCCCAAAAATAAGATCTTGCACAGAGATTTGTAAAGAGTATTTTTATTATAGTATATTTTTAAGAATAATTGACAATTTTCACTTTAGTTTTAGTTTATAATATATAAAAATTGAATGTGTTTACTTCCAACGGAAATAAGTTACAACAGTAAGTGTAATATTCCAGCTTCTGTAACAGCCTGCAATAAGAGATGTTTAGAAGTTTCTCAAACTTCTGTAAGAGAGAGTTAATTGTCAAAGTCCTTTTTATTATTTTAGGACATATTTGGAGAAGTTAGAAATATTTTTCTAAGTTTTTAATTTAATTCATTAAATCATTCATTCTATTCAATCGATAACTAAAATTTATCATTAATTTTATTTTTACTTGAAAAATAAATCAGATTTGTTTCGCATTTCGTTTCTAATTGCATTTTATTTTTGTCTTTGGACTCAGTGGACCTTTAAATGTTGAGAAATGCAAAAAATTCGGATTTTTTTTTTCTGTATGTATGGATATTAGCGTGTATGTGTATGTGTGGGGGCAAGCTTTTGTTCATCCTATTTGAAGCTTAATAACTGCTGTGCTTTCTGTCGGAAATTTCTGAAATTTTGCAGGGATGTTTGTATATTAGGGGGATTAATACTGTTAAATTTTGGTGATTAAAGGTCGAGGAGGTGGGCAGATAAAAGGGGATCGTGTGTCATATCTCGAGTAGGATCAGACTTAATGACGATTTTATTCCTTACTAGCATTTGAAATTTTATTACAAAACTTATC